CCAGTATCTACACTTCTGCTGGCTGCACCCTCCACTCACAGCCTCCTTGGGGACCTCATAAATAATGACTTAGAAGAGAAATTATTTAAGATTACAAAACTTTTTCAAGAGCAAGTCAAGGTGCCAGCATATTCAAAAGCTGACAGATATGTCAGGGCAGGTGCTTTGCAAGGGATGTGCTTTGTATCTTTGATGTGACAAACATACTGCAGTAAATTCACAAACGTGCACTTGCTGCTGCCTTTTCCAAAGCCCTGCCACCGAGCCATCACCTTCAGCTCAGTCACAGCTCACGCTGAGAGTGAAGAGACGAGTAAGGATTATCCCCTTTTGCTAGAAATGCTTTGCCTGGTTCACTGGGCTGATTGCGATGACAGTGATGTGCAACAGGTCCCACAGGTCTGGGCAGATGGTAGTGGGTGTATCTCATAGCACCGTTGGATTTGAAATTTTTCATGTTAGCAGCTCCCTTTTTGGGAAGTGTTTGTGTGGCCTCACTTCTGTTACGGATCATTTTCTGACATAGTCTGGGCAGTTCTTCAAAGAATCCCACAGATGAGAAACTGAGGCAGAGAGAGATTAAGTGGATTTCCTGTAGATATATAAGAAGTCAGCAGTAGTGTAAGAAGATAAATAGTGCAAGGAGTGTCCAACCACTGAACTGTCCTTTTCTCCCCTAGGCAATGCAGAATACATGGAATACATACCTTTTCATGTACAGCTTTTTGTAATACATATATTTTCAAAAGGCTGATGTTAGGTTAATGAATATTCCAAAATGAAGTAGGAAACACATTCATTTTGATGTAGCAGAAAAGTGTTTTCCTAATGAAGTAGTAATTAAATAAGAAGGATAGTTATTAAAGAACTGGTTAATACTCTCCATCCCTCCTCTCAGCATTTCTATCAGCAGTTCTGGGCAAGGGAAAGGAGTGTTTCCGACAAGCATGAAGTCCCACTAGAAAAATATAAAAGGAGCAATGTGTCGTAAGAATCTTAAAAAATAAGAAACAGTGTCAAATAAATGAAATCAATTTCCAGAAGAGAATAATAAAGGCTGAAAAAAGGTACCAGAAAGCCAGAAGACTTTTCTATTTTCTTAATTGGGGTAATTATACTAAAACTGACAGCTAATATTTTCCCACTAGCAAAAAAACACCCACAAACCCCAGTCAGCCAAAATACTGCTCTGAGCATGAGATCTGTGAAGGTTAAAGGCTTGAGTCTGCCATTAGGAGAGTGTTCCCAAGGTTAGTCCTTAAATGTAGAGAAGAAATTTTGATTCTGGTCTCCTCACAGTTCAAAGTCAACGCTTACCTTGGTTTCAACTGTGCTATATTTGGCAAAGTACTAATATAATTGTATTTGGTCCTAGTCTTGTCCTGTTCGAATGTTAAATGCCTCTTAATACCAAGCCCATTGTGCTGTCTCTCTCTTACAGTTTAGGTGATATACAAAATAACAAGCAGCATGGACCTGCTGGAGAAATCCCTCCAGGGAAACTAGTGGTGCCAGAGTCCACACTACATGTGTTTTGGGGGTTTAGCTTTGAACCAGCTTTCGTCTGAACCCCTGTCCCCATGGACTGAAGTTTCGTTTATTGTTTTTCTAGCACATGAAATGCTCCTGGAGCATGTCCTTGGGTGTAGTTTCATCCAAAAAGCATGCAGTTCTTGCATCCCGGGTTGCATCATAGTGTGAGCCAAATACATCACATAGGGACAGCTGGAGCAACAGAGATCCAACAAATCACACTGTGTATTTATAAGGTCTTAACTGCTGTTGCCTCCTCATGGTTACTTCATGTTCGTCATGGCCCAGGTCTCCAGCTTCTCCATGCATATTTCACTGCAGCAGACTAAGGACCTTCTCCCTCAGTTAAGGCCCCTTAGTGGGACTGAAATTACCTGGCAGTCCAAGTTGTGTTGGCAGTGTTTGGATTTGAAACCATTCAGTATCTCCTTGCTAATAATTAGAACTTACGAAGAAGAGAAAAATGATTGTAGAACCTCAGATGAGAGACTATGTAGCTCAGGGACCCCCTTTCTCGCAGTAACCAGTAATGAGTGCCTAGGAAAAACTTCAATAACAAGACAAGGATGTGGTGGTATTTCTCCAGAATACTTTCTTAGCTTCCAAAAAGTTCACAACTCAAGGATTTCCTAATCTAGAAGCTCTATCTTTATACCTAATACCCTTTCATATGTTTTTTTCTTTTGTTAATTATTTAGCTACTTTTTAGATTTTTGTTAATTTTAGGATCTACGGTGTCCTGCAGGAAAGAGTTTGACATTAACTTCAGGCTGCACAGTTTGGATCTATTAAGAAAAGACTGGGGATGTTAATAAGAGGGGTTCAGATGCCCCCATGCTGCCTCTGCTCACATTAGTCCTAGAAATAGCATTGTCTAGCGCATGTGGTGTAGAGTCACCGTGCCCAAGTTAAGAGTGTTGGTGGATCCACCCCAGCTGGGGCTCTGCACCACTGTGTGTTGGTTTATGTTGATGTGAATGGGAAACTCTGCCCAAAGCAGGGGATGCAGACCAACCAATTGTAACTCCTCTGGCTTTTTTCAGAGCCAGAAGGACTTGACCCACAGGATGCCCGAGTATGACCATATTTCTATGGGAGCCAGAGTGCTGAATCAAAAGCACTCAGATGCTGTGGGAACCAGCCAGCAAGGACCTCACCCTCCCATCAATCCTTGTGTTCCAGGCCTGTGATTTTATCAAATTGTATTTTTGACCCCACTTGCTTTTTTAAATAATCAGTGCAACATTTCCCGAGAGGGTAAAGCCTCCCAGTTACTGAAGGGGAAAAGAACATGATATCCAAATGACTCATGGCTTTGTGGGTGAAGTAATGGCTGCGTGTCACAGCTTGGGATGTGGGTTTGTGGTCTGATGCCACACGGAGTGGGTGTGCTTGCGTTGTGTGGTTAATATACATGGCTTTTGTAGGAATTCTCTTGTCATCTCCAGAGCCAACTTGCTTGTTAAGATATTACTGACTGCATGGTGGCAATTAATAAGATAGAGAGGGCACTTGCCAGACATAACCAAGCCCTCTGAACACCAGCTGGAGGCAAATATGATAAAGCCTTTCTGCTGCAGAAGAAGTAGGTCCTACAGAAGGAGTTGCAGGTGGCCATGGCTGGAGGAACTGTGGGGACCAGGTTGTTTCTGAGGGCTGGAAGGAGACCTGGAGGGGGGCAGCAGGAGCCAGCATCCCTGGGAGGTACCTGATGCCTCTGAAGCTTTGATCTCCTGGGGCAGGTATCCTGCTGGCTATGCATGCTCTGATGTCTGATGTAGCACACCTCTGCCTGCTGCCCCCTGCTCCTGCTGACTTGTATCTACTGTGGGTACCCTCAGGTTACCGACTCCCTCTTTCTTGTTTTCCTCTGAATCACTCAGTGTCACTAAGGAAAAACACATAAATGCTAGTGCAAGTGCAAGTGTAAAGGCCAGTGGCACCTCCACAGACTCCAGCTTCTGCCTGGCTCACTGCTAATCACTTGTACCTGCTGGGACTCAGCCACGACACCCTTTCTAGGAAGTTGCCAGCAGTTGCTCGCTGTCCTATATATGAACAACTTGCAGATGTGACAAAATAGAGGTTGTCTTGTCTGGATTCTCTGTCATGGGATTTCCTCACCTCTCCCACTCCATCTTTTCGGTGCTCTGGTTGCTGCTCCACAGCTGTGCAGCCCAGGAGCTCTGTGGAGCTGCAGGTCAGGGCTCCCTTCTGGTGACACCCACTGCGGGGGACATGTGCCCATGCAGGTGGTGGCCTTTTCTCGAGTAGTTCTCACCACCCCGAACATCCACACTACATGGGATCTAGTGGTTTTGCCCTATGGGTTAGCAGAGGGAGGAATGAGGGAGGCATCGGTGTCCCCCTTTCTCCTCCAACCAAACTCCTCCTATAGGCAGGAGCTGTTGGGGAGGGGGTTTTGCTACATCCTACCACTGCTTGCTGTGGCAGAAACATCGTGGGATATGGTTTATAGCTTGGGAGACAACAGCAGGGCACTGCCTGGACCCAGCTGTTGGCAGATCAGTTGGCTTTGGGAAACCAGCCAACCTTTTTCAGTTTTCTGGGGCGCTCTGGTTTGCCCGTGAGATTAGAATTTGCAGCACTAAATAAGCACAGATAAATAGAATTTATCCATTTCTAATTTGAACAATCAAATGTTTACCCAGGTCTCAGTGCCTGGCTGGAGGACCAAGGGAGCTTCTTTCTTTGTGGCTCTAGCAGTGCCAGGCCTCACGGCTGGTCCCATGTTTGAAAAATCTCCTTTTTTTTTAAGCAGTTCAGAGTCTGGGGCTGCTGCTCGGGAAATGGCTGTGTTCTCCCTGCAGGCAGATCGATACATTTCAGCTCACTGCACTGCAAGTAACTTTTCGTCGTACATTAAGAATGAGGAAAATAAAAGCCAAGATGGAAGTTATTTTGGTTTTGCTTTTATTTTGAATTATTTATTCGGAAGTCGCTGCTGTCTTCCTTCCCATCAGGAGACAAAATGCCTTTGTCTTTGGTGATTTTTCCTACTAAAAAGACAGGAGGTCTTCCCAGTTTTATTTCCCTCATCCACTTGGTTCTTGGTACTGAAGTGTGAATCTTGGGTCTCTGCAACTTGACAAGATGGTCTCCTGCAGCCTTAGGGATGTAGGCAAAGTCTCCACCAGCACCAGTGGAGTCACACCTCGTTGGAACATTTCTAACCAGTTTTACTGCAGATGAGTTATATGTGTTACGAATGATTGCTGGCACATAAGCAGAGTGTTACAGAGGGTTATAAGTAATCTCCAGGCCAGCTGAACTATCATTTTAATTGAGCATTTACTAAATAGTTAGTAAAATATTAATATTTTAAAAATGAAGTTTTAATGTAATGCGTTATGGGACAAAAAAAATTGCAATTGATTCCACTATTAATATTAGTTTGGAAACTCAAACTAACTACCCATTTTGATGTTTTTTCTCCCAAAATCTAGGTTATCCTGAAGGGGAGGATAAAGAAACTGGCCACCAAGATGGTAATCACTAGTGGAAATGAAGAAGATAAAGGCAGTCAAGAAAAGGAAAGCAAAGAAGAGACCATCTTGGCAATGCTTGGAATTATTGGGACAATTCTGAACCTCATTGTGATCATTTTTGTGTATATTTACACAACATTGTAAACTAGAAGGCATGCAAATAGACCAGATAAAACGGCCATTGAGTGACTACAAACATTTGCTGACTATTGACAAGTTGTTTAATCAGAATTGACTGTGTATTATATTAACACATCATAAAAGCACTGCCCGCAGGCAGCGAAGGCTGAAGCACAATTAATTTAACAAGACTTTTTCACACAGTAACAAGCTTAACTCTTCTGTCCTGCCCTCTTCCTTTCGGTTTGGGGGAAAATGACTGCAATTATGTAAGTTGTAGCTTGGAAGAAGTCCACCTGGGATATGTTGTTTTAACACAATTTAAAAAGAAAAAAAAAAAAAGAGAGAAACTGTACACTATATACAACTAGAAATGTATACTGTATACCCGCAAAGATCGAACTCAAAGATAGCTTCATAGCACAGACCACGTGTCCGTTAGGTCAAATGATTTTTTTTCTCTTGGTTTTTGCTTTTGCTTACATTGAATCTGACAAGCTTTTTATTTAGAATGAACATATGGTGCAATCAGGAAAAAAAAACAATTCCATTGAGCAAGGTCCGCCTAAACCTGATAAAATGTTGGGAGAAATACGTTACATGATTATTTTTCCTTTCTCATTTGCTTAACATCTGTGTCTGTTCATACCAATGTTTATAAATATATATTTTTAATAAATGTGCTATATTTTTAGCATGAACCAAATATTTGGAGACACTTGTATTCATGCAGCTAAATTTTGTTTGATGAAGTGCCCTTTTTGACAATGGATGTTATTTTTCTCAGCAGTTATACAGCAGTCTTGTTTGCAGCCCTCTCACTGTGGTCTGAAGCAAGCTCACATCATGCTCATATGCATGACTTGAAGTTGGAATGTCAGCTGAAAAGCATTGCTGCTTAATACGGGAAATAGCAAAACATTGTAAGGTGACCTTTGGAGACTGGTTGCAGAAAGAAGGCTCTATTTATAGTTTAAAAAAAAAAAAAGAAAAGAAAAAAGCAAATGAAAGGAGTATTGAGGCATCTCACAAAATATTACAAAATTCACAGAATTTATGGCTTTCAAAATCTGGTCACACTCTCTAAGTGCTTATATTGAGAAAGGAGAGCAGAGGTTTATGCAGTTGAAAAGAGAAATTTAGAGAGCCTGTTGTGAGGGGCTTAGGTGAAATCCAGGCTGTAAATACAGAGTATATTTTAAATGTGAGGATCATTAACCCTTTATGCTTCTTCTGACATGTGCTTTAACTGAGGTTGGTGCAGTGAAATTCTCTGACTTGTGTTTTCGACAGGAATGTACAATGATGCTGATCACCAGTCTTCTTCAGATTTCAGTACCTATAAATATATGAAGCATTAAAAATATGAGACCTTAATTTTGCCTCGAGCTGCCTAAGTACATTGCCCATTAACTCTGACATATCCTCTTAAAAAATAGGTCAATTAATTGTTTACTGACTTGTGGTTTGGATTGCATCCTCATATACACAAGAGGGATCGCTACTGAAGTCAGCTGGCGCTGTAAAAAGTTTGATCCTGGAATCTCATTGATTTTAGTGATCAGTCCTGTCCCTCTGGAATCAGTAATGAGCTTTTCACTGGTTTCCAGGGGCTATGACTTGTCTCAAAAATAAAGACTTTCATTGCAGGGTATAAAAGCAAGCCTGGAAAACCCTGAAGGGCACCTCTCATAAACAGAGATGTTTAGTCTCTTGCGGTATCTCACATTCAACCATTAGGAGAAGGGAAAAGGTCAGTAAATAAATTAAAATGTAATCCAGTATGAAGACTGAAGGGAAAAGGAGCAAAAATAATCTCATGCAAATGAAAACAACAGGGTGAGAGAGGTGAGGAAAATGAGCAGAGATCTGAGCGACCAGAGAACAGCACAGAAAGAGGGTGCCAAGCTGGCGTGGTTGAGGAAACATTTGTGTTTGGACGGTGCTGGTAGAGCATTGGGTCTTGGAGAGGGTGAGAAACATAGTGGCACAGTTCAGTGGAGCTGAGTGAGGCCAATCTTGGTTTTTAATTTGGTAATTATTGGTAATTCTAAGGAATTAACAAACTCTGCTTTTTGATCCTCCTGAATGAAAAAAAAAAAAAGTGGATAAAATATATTTGCCTCCACTTTGCATTTTTCCTTCTGGTTTAACTCCTGCTGATCACAGCACCTGGCAGTGGCAATGGCATTGGCGCAGCACACCTGCACGCTTCAGTCACCAGCCTCTCCCTTCTGCTGCCAGCATCCCCTCTGCAGGTGTTTCTTTTGATCCTTTCTTCCTTCTCCAGCAAACTCCGAAGCAATCTGCCTGAGGCTTGCACCCTTCCTCCAGAGGGGAAGCTGGGAAAGGGCATGAAGAAGTTTAATGAATGAAACTTCATTAAGTACTTCTGTTGGTTGGAGTAGATGATCTTAAAGGTCCCTTCCAACCTGGACAATTGTTTGATTCTATTAACATTACAAATTAAAGCTCTGCATTGTAAAACAACATATAACACCCCTACACCCCTAAAGTAAAGTAGCAACTTTTGCTGCTCATCACAGTTGCACTCCTTCCGACATGGACTGGCATCTTCACCAAGAGAGGCCCTGCAAAGAGCCCAAATGTGCTTAAGCTCAACTGGTGGATCAAAAGCTGAAGGACTCTGCCTTTACTCAGACTTTGCCAGGAGAAGACCCGTTAGGGGCAGAATTTCCAGCTGTGGCAGCGCTGCAGTCCTGGTGTAGGCACTGTGTCCAGGCACCTACCGCAGCCGGGTGCTGTATGCTCTGCCACGGGGCTTTTATTGCACCCTGGAATGGGAAGGAAGGTTTATCCCATTCCATAAAAAGTTTAACACTTAATATTTTAATTTTACAGGTTTCTGTTCACAGATAGTTCTAGAAATATCCTGGGGCAAGTACGTCTTAAGTAGATTCATTAAGTATTCATTTAAATAAAAATGAAGAGTTTCCTTGGAGGACAATTTCTCTACCTTTTATTCATGAACGCAGATATAGGAAAAGTATGTTTTCAAGAATGGCTGTGGAAGGGAAATGTTTTATACAAAGATCTGAAAGTATCCTACCCAGGCAGCCGCACGCAGGCCTGCTTTCGGCTGAATGCCAGCTGGAGCCAAATTACCCTCCTGCTTCTTTATGGTAGCAGCTTTCAGCATGCACCTATAAGAAATATTCAACTTGGTAACATATATGTCATGGATACCTTATGGTCAGTAACTGAAGTATAAACAGTTGAATAAAACATCTCGTTACAGGTGCTGAATGGAAAATCTAGTTTGGCAAGGAAAAAGCTGATAGTCTTATTTTTGGCTTGACTTGTAGGTAATGCAAATAGTTTCCAAAGCAAATTTTTTAAAATAAAATATTACTCCATTAGTGACAAGAACTTTAATGTTTGCATTTGAGTAGAAAGAAATTAATATCCAATACGTTAATAAGATGTGAAAACATCACCTTTCGCTTCTGTCAACTGAGAATACAGTTGTATTTTTAAATTATCCCATGTAGCTTGATGGTTTGTGTTATGGGGATGAGAAATGTTTTCCTGAGGTGACAGGAAGGTGACATTCTCCCTGCTAGCGTCTGGTGTGTCGTCTGCTGGGTACAGAAGACTTTCAGGAAAGAAGATAAAACTATTTAAATCACATTATGCACACAATGAAGTGAGAAGAAAGAAGAAAGACAGGCTACTGCTCTCATCTCTGGTTCCTATAGCTGCCACTGAAAATTCATCATCTCTGAAATCATGTCTTCATACAGGAATATATCCTCTTCTCTGCTGGCTGGCGGGGCAGTCCTTTTGATTACGTACCTTCCCCTCCTTCTTCTTGCACTCCTGCAGCAGTGTGTGGCTCATCTCACCTTAGGACACTTCTTATGTGTACCCAGCCTGGGAGCCTCTGGAAGCTGCTGTGAAGGTCTACTGAGAAGCAGAGTATTATTATTGTAAGGACAGTCAGTAATTGTCTTCATTATTGTCTGATGATCTAGGGGATACTTTGTTGAATTCCCCAACCCATCCCTCCCCGGACCAGAGGTAAAATTTTGACTCAGTAGGCATCCAAATACAAAAAAAGCTTCAGTTACCTTGTGGTAAAACTTTAGTATGAAGCAGTGCTTAAGTCCAAATGTCTCATATTTCCATTTAATCTATATCCTGGTGCTCAGTCCCAATGCCCCAAGGTCTCATCCATGTCAGGAGTCTCATCGCTTCTGAGTGAGAATCGACATTTCAGAACACACTGTGGCACAAGTAGAGAACTTGGCCCAGAGAGGGGAACAGGGGATAAAAAGTAACTGAATTACAACTCTAGGGAGGCAGCACTGCAGAATTTACTAATTAAATAGTTCAACGTTTGGCTGGAGTACTTTGTTCCTGGCTAGCTAGTATTTTGGAGAAAAAATATTATTGTTCCTTGGAAAGTTTCTGGAAGAAATATGTCTGACTGAAAGAAAGAACCTCATTGAAAATGTTTCAGCAGCAATTTCCAACAGCAACTTTCCAAAGAAAACACTGAGGTGGCCTCCAAGTGACTCTGGCTGGCTTCCCAAACGTACTTTTTGGCAGCTCGGGAGCACACTGCACATATATGTGAGCACCTCTTGTTTACCGGGAAGCTTTGTCTTCTTTGGAGCAGAATGCACAGGTTTACAAAGACTTAAAAATCTAAGGAATGGTACATTGTGCAACCCAAAAAAATGCTGCCCACCTTTATTTCCAGCAGGTACCCTGCAGAACCTGAACTGCTTCCATGCCTGGCCACGCATTTTGGTGGCTCTTCCCAAAGGGTGTTATAATCTCAGTGTAGATTTCCTTCCCCACCACTGATCCAAGAGAAACAAAACCTGTTCTGCGTGGAAACCTCCACGCCAGGCTGAAATCTCATGTGCATCTATATGCATTTATCTATGTATGAGCCATCTGGTATCCAATAAGACTCTCTTTGTCTGAAGCATTAGGTTTGCTTATTTGCATCTCACCTGGGGACTCAGATGGGGAAAGGCAATTTGTAGGTTTGAAAGCACCCAACTGTTTCCAATGATACAACTTTACATAATGGGGCCGTTACCTAGAAAGGTGCCTGTTGTTCTGACACACCTGCACAGTCCTGGGTCCTTGGTGGGTAGTCCCTCACCGACAGAGGACCCATGACTGTGAGGGGTGGTGGGTTTGGGCTGTAACTGGCCCCCACAACAGGGTTTTGTACCAAAGGCTGGATCCCAATTCGAGCTCTGTAGAGTGGAAGGACATCGTGCCTTGTTCATAGAAGGTCCTTAGCTACGTTGACAGCACTGGGATCCCTTCTTCTGCAACCAGTACAAATTCAGGTTAAGATGATTTATGGCCACTCCTGAGGCTCTTCTTGACGGTGGCAGAGCTTGTTTCCACATGGGTGAGAAAAACAGCTTTGGCTTCCCTAATCTCCTAGAATAGGGAGCAAATTGCCTCCTGCAAGAGACAGCAGCACAAGCATGCATTTCTTGCTGACAACAACCAGGTTACTTGCCTGGAGTGCTGATGGAGACACTTTTCCCTCCCATCATCCTACGTAGCCTGAAAAACACAAGTTTATTACCTGGTCTCTGGGTTCTCCACAGGCTCAGTCACCAGCTAGACTCGGGCAGACTTGTTATACCCAAATGCCTCCTGAATCAGGAATAGATTAGAGGCCCTGATATCTTAATCTGGCCTTGCAACCAC